AAGGGCGACGGCCTTTAGATAAATTATTATCTTTGGAATGACTGACCCGCGTGACTCAGCATTATTCACTCTGTTTATTATCGCTGTACCCAGACTGAAAGTTGGCCCAAATGCAGGTATATTCACCCCGCGCTTCTATTCGGGTGATGACGGTAGAGTTCCAATCGGGCATTTATTATTATTATTTTTTAATTAAAAAACTACACTATGTTCTTCTCTCAAATTCCTTGAAATTGCCTTTGACTACCTTCCTACCACTACTTCTAAGACTATAAAATAAATAAATTAAAAATAAAATTAAAAAAAAAGACTGTATATAGAGGGGACCCCTGCAAGCATAGGGCCTCGCAAACGAGGTAAATCATGTTGCCCCCCGCCCCGACAGCGGTAGTCAGAGATGGGGGGCCGGGGGGGCCGCCGGTTTATTGGGACGAGGGTTTTGCCCTTTAGACCTGACAAATGGCTCTTCGGCTATATTCGACTAACGATTTACCAAGGCAATTCGTCCTTTTGGGCCGTCGCCGTCTGTAGGGCTAGTGGTGTGTGGTGTTGTTTGTACTGATGGACCGTGTAGACCAGACTGCAGAGTTTCAGAGTGTTTTCTGAGTGTTTTCAAACCGGTGACTTACGGGTACGACCCGTCTCATCACCTGCATTTGTTTTGGCTAGGAAGTAGTGACCTCCTAGGCCCTCGAACCGTCAGGGGGCTAGCGTTGTGTGGTGTGGTGTGCACTGACGGTCTAGCATCACGGTAGGAGGAGTCGAATATATGCAATCACGGCGATTGCCTTTTTCTCCTTCGCCGAGTGGCGATGATGCGAATTGGTTGGAGGGACTATAGGGACGAGGATAGTAGTGGCGGTCGCCAACACGTCGACGGGGTACTCGCATCTCTCATCACTCATCTCTGTGCTTCAAGTTGACCACAGTTAACAGCCACGTGTGTTAACGTGAGTCTGTTTTAAGAAAGGAACCACGTGTTAACGTGAGTCTGTTTTAAGAAAGGAAAGATGCTTTGATGATATCTCGCAGCCTTCGGCAATTGTCTGTTTTCTGAGCAATTGCCCGTGTGCTGTACTGCTTGTATGATTGGCAGTCTGTGAATTCCTCCGAGCTGCCCGAGCATTTCGCCAGTAGGCCTTTTTTTCTTTTTTTCTTTTTTTTTTTCTTTTTCTTTCGGTTTAAAGGGCGACAGCCTTGAGATATGATCATCTTTCAATTACCTGTCAAATCTGGACAGACGGCCTTTCAGGCCTTTTTTTTTTCTTTTTTTTTCCAGGCCTTTTTAATTGTCATTCTAGTATTATGTGGAACCCCGTAGATCATCTTTGGAACGACTGACCCAGGTAACTCAGCATTATTTACTCTGTTTATTCACGTGCGAAGACGGTAGAATTGTTGGGTCTTGGTGGCGTAGGTTTGATATTACTGTTATGCGTAGTTAGGGTTTTCGTGTACACTTCTTCTTTTGTTCGTTTCGCTCAGCTTTTTTCATGATGTGAGGGACGCTGGACCCGTTTTCCGGCTTTTATAATCCAAAAGCAGCCGTCATATGAACCAGGCCGGAGTGCCTGGATCATATGCCATGAGGCTGCCAGTGAAAAAAAAAAAAAAAAAAAAAAAAAAAGGGGAAAGAATTCCACTCGGGCATTTAGAGGAAGGGTCCTGTTTTCTTTTTTCTTTCTTTTTTTTTTGTTGAAAGGTTGATAGCCTTGAGACATCATCTTCGGAATGACCGACCCAGGTAACTCGAAATTATTGTACTCTGTTCAACTGACTGCATCTGGACTCGAACTTGGGTCTGATTCATATTTCAACAGTTCGGGGGTGTACCAAGTACTTGTACCGACTAAGGCTTGAACCCCACCGCCCGGCGGCTGGAAAAGTTTTTCGGACCCCACTGGGCCGCCAGGCGGTTCGCCACCGGGCCGCCAGGCGGTTCGCCACCTCGTCTGGCGACGTCGAGTTCAGACCCCACCGCCGTTGCCAAAAGACCGCCATCCGTGTTTCTACATGGGTGGCGGATGGAAAAGTCTCCGCCCGCGGCCGGCGCTCTTTTCCAAAACGCCCTCCAACAGGGTGGGGAGGGCAAAGCGCCAGCCGTTGGCATCAGAGGCCGTGAAGGAGTGGTGCAGTGAACGGGCGTGACGGACAAACGTTTGGTCCAGGCCGAGACAGAAATTTGAAGTGTGTGTCGCACGAGACATCAGAAGTGGCCGTTGGTGGTCCCCGGAGGTGGTCCCCCGCTGTGGTCCCACTACATTGTGCAAAGCGGGAATGCACAATGCAAATTTCTGTGGTGCGTGAACGGGTTTTTTCGAAATCTGCAACAAGTACTTGGGACGGAGAGGAGGTAGACAGTCCATCGCACTGTGTGCCGTTCACGTGTCCGCGATTGCGCGTTCCCGCCCTTCGGTGTCCGCGGTTGTCTTCTTCAAAGTGACGTGGGGTGGAAGGTCGATCTGCCATGCGCTTTCTCCATAACATTGCTTGTCTCGGC